ATTTTTTTTTTAATATTTCAGCTATTAACATAGTAAATTTTGCAACAAATCTTTATTTTTCTTCTGAAATATCTCCATGTAAACCTATTCCATCATCTAAAATTGGTTCTTCATCAAAATTCATTGCTATACCTCAAAATTCAATTGAACTTATTCTTGAACATAATCCTACAGGTTTTGTCTCTGCACTAGTTAATCCTACTACTGATGTTATTTCATTACCTAGAAAGAGTAGTAGGCCCAGACATATTCCAAAATACCTTGAAGATTATCAACTTCATTTACCTCCCACTTGACATCATGTCACAGTTCATCCAATAAATAATTTTTTGCCATCTCATCAATTGTCCTCTAGACATAAAGCCTTTACTACCAGCTTATCTCAAGTATATGAACCACATACATATGACCAAGCTGTTAAGTATTCTCATTGGTGAGATGCCATGCAATGTGAACTTCAAGTTTTAAAGGATAATGCTACATGGAGTATTGTACCTTGACCTTTAAATTCTCATGCAATTGGATGTAAATGGGTATTCAAGGTTAAAATGAATGCATATGGTATCATAGAAAGGTATAAAGCAAGACTGGTGGCAAAAGGGTATAGTCAAGTATAAAGGTTTAATTATCAAGAAACTTTTAACCCTATTGCTAAACAAACAACTATGAGAGTTTTTATGGAACTTGTAACTGCTAAAGGATTGAATTTGTCACAATTAGATATCAACAATGCATTCTTAAATGATGATCTTGATGAAGTAGTTTATATGGACCTTCCTAAAGGTTATTCTCTCAAGAAGGAGTATTCATCTGGTTCTAAAATGGTGTGTAAACTGTATAAATCCCTTTTTGGTTTGAAACAGGCATCAAGACAGTGGAAGACAAAGTTTATAGATTCATTACTCAAATATGGTTTTAGTCAATCATATGCAGATTATTCCCTGTTCATTATGACATCAGACAATGGTGATTTTATTGCTCTATTAGTATATATTGATGATATAGTAATTGTTGATATATGCCTTTGAGCCAATTGGATTGGTCAAAAAATATATATTATCATTTAATACATACTTAAATATATAACTATATGTGATAGAGGTTTTCCTTCATGTTAGTACAATAATAAAGAGTTATTAATTACTAATTGAATAAAGCCCATGGAACATAAAGGCCTTG